GCTGAACTCATGAGCTATTTACACCCGAGGAGGGAGCCTGGGGGAATCTCTGGGGAGATACCTTGCCTGAGCAAAGGCTCACCTGTTGCCTTGACAGTCACAGCTGTCAGGTGTAAGAATTGCGTTCGTGGGGACTTCCCTGTGGTCCAGTGAGTAAGACTCCGCGCTCCCAGTGCAGGGGGCCCAGGTTAAATCCCTGGTCAAGGAACTAGATCCCACTTGCTTTAACTAAGATCCTGCATGCCGCAACTAAGATCCTGTATGCCGCAGTTAAGACGCAGTGCAGCCAAATAAATATTTTTAAAAAGAAAAGAAATGTGTTTGTGAAGATCAATCATAAAATGCTTTTCTGAGTTAGAGTAAGGTTTGAGTTTTTTCCTTTTTGCTCAAGAGGGAGGGAGGAAGAGAGAGACAGAGAAAAAAGATAATAGACACTACAGATAAAAGCCGTTTTCCCTAATCCCACTTGCCTCTACCCTGAGACAAACACCATCATAAACGGGGTGCGCTATTTCGAGCGTATCCTTTTATAGTCTTACTACTTATACCTGTGCTGGTCGTCGTGAATAACACAGTTCTAATTTCTGTGTTTGGTTTTTACTGCTGTGTCTCAACATCAGTCTCTGAGATCATCCAGGTTGACCACCACTAAATCTAGCGCACGGCTCCCAAGCGCTCTGCCTTGTCCCCTTGTGTTTTACGGTCTCGCCCGTGGGCTGTTAGACCAACAGTGTCTCTCTGCTACAGACAGTGCTTCAGTGAGCACAGCCAGGTGCACCTGTTTCCTGGAACATGAGCCGTGTGCCGCGCAGTGGAAGCAGGGTGTGGATTGTGGCTCTGCCACTTAAGAGCTCTGCGACCTTGGGCGAGTTACCTGACCTTTCTGTGGCTGACTTCCTCATTTGTAAATTGAGGGGAAATAATAGTACCTCTTAGAGTTGTGGGGATTAAATGAGGCTTCGTGCCTGGCACATAGCAGGAACACAGTACATGTTGGCCATCCTTGTCCTTATCAAGGCTGAGACCTGCCATGTCTGCCGGGTCCCAGGACATGCAGGGCGTGAGCATCACTGCCCAGTCCCCCGACAACTGCGATGTCAGCTCACGCGCCCACCAGTGGCTGCTGAAACGTCCTGCTTTCCCTCATCTTCACTCACAAAAGGGTTTAAGGCTTATTCCAACATAATGGGGTGAAAACAGTTATTTTTTAACTTCAACAGTGTTATTGCTTGAATAAAATCTGCTTTAAAACACGATTGCCAGGCTTCCCTGGTGGCGCAGTGGTTAAGAACCCGCCTGCCAATGCAGGGGACACGGGTTCGAGCCCTGGTCCAGGAAGATCCCACATGCCGCAGAGCAACTAAGCCCATGCACCACAACTACTGAGCCTGCGTGCCACAACTACTGAAGCCTGCACACCTGGAGCCCGTGCTCTGCAACAAGAGAAGCCACTGCAATGAGAAGCCCGCGCACCGCAACGGAGAGCAGCCCCCGCTGGACGCAATTAAAGAAGGCCCGCACGCCGCAGCTAAGACCCAACGCAGCCAAAAATAAATACATAAATGAATGAATTAATTTTAAAAAACGGGATTGCCATCTAGCGGTGGGAGAAGTGGACTGCAGTTAGGGGCCTAGAGCCAAATGCGAGTGGACCCACGTATACCTCGGGATAAACTGGGCATTTTAGTCACTCACAGCTGGTTTGAATTGAAGCAACTGCGTGAGAGTTCTTCTCTTCTCCCCTTTTGAGGCAGCTTGTGATTTTGTCCTCACTTTTCCTGGTGCAGCGGCATGGAGACCCGTCTGCACAGTTCTGGACAGAATCTTCCAGCCAGTGGACTGGGTCGCTGGCTCAGAAAGGAGCAGGGAGGTAGATTAGGAACGAGGCTGTTTATAAAGTGGCGGGATTCTGTGGCTCCAGCCGGGCAGGCTTTCCTTGAGCGACCCTCATCCTCCAGGGGAGAAGGCTCAGGAGCAGGTAGGCGTCAGAGATGTGCCCGCAAACTGCCTCCGAGGGCTGAGCTGAGCCCCAGTGAAACGTCCTTCCAAGCCAGGGCCTTGGACTGTCTGCTGTGAAGAGTTCTAAGATCACAGCTGAGGAAGATGAGTGCACGAAAATGTTAGATACTGTTCATCAAAGACAGAGATACCTGTTAACTGATCTGTACAAAAATGTTCCACGGAAGATAAGGGTGTCAAAAAAGCAGTGTTGCTGAAATGTCATATAACATGTCTTTAAGTCTGTACTGTCACTAAATGAATGGGTTAGTGAAAGTTAAAAAAAGAAAACAAAGTCTAGGACTTCCCTGGTGGTCCAGTGGTTAA